CTTGAACTTGCATTGTGATAGCAGGGGTTTGTTAGTTGGGCGATGCATTATTTTTTATTATATTATAATTTGGAAGCAGTTGGATCGAAGTCTTTTGACTATAAAAAAATTGCGGTTGAAGTTGAAGTAATAAGAGCGTGATTGGAGTGGACTGAGAAAGAAGCCTTGGATTTTATTAGAAAATGCTAGCTTAGGATCTTATCAAGATTCAAATTACCTTATAATATAGTCTTTTTTAATAAAATGCTACAAATTAAAGCATGTCCAAGAAATATGGGAATAGCTAGCAGCCTAACATGCATGTAACTAAATATACTAATATACTGCCTGCTATTTAATTCAATTTCTAAATATAAGTGGAAAAATATTTAACATGATTTTTTTCTATCCTTAAAGTTATACCTTAATGCTATGCTTGATGTGATAGAAAAATAGGGGAAAGGGAAATGTATGAGAAAAAAGTGAGGGGAAAACTAATATTTTCTCCTACTTAGCTAAAGATAAAAAAAATATGGAGTGAAAATTAGAGAAAAAAATAACATACGAGACTCACATTTTTTTACATCCAATTTTTCTTTTCAAATATTGAAAGATTTTGAAGGGAAAATTGAATTTTTAAATTTATCCATAAATTTTTTTCATTTCTTGTGAGTTGCTTCCCTTCATTTTTGTCTTAATTTTCCCCTTATTTTAGAATTTAATTATTATATATTTAACAATTTAATAAGTAAAAAATTAAAATGGGACAAAATAATTTTTTTGCTAGCATCAGATAAAATAATTTACAATTAAATTTTTATTTAATGAGTAATACTATATAATAAAATTTATATAAATAATATGTTAAAATATCAAATTTTATTATATATATAATTTTTTTACAAATAATAAAATTATTATTATCTATATAAAATTAATAATTTTTTATTCTATTTTCTCTCTTGCAGCCAAGCATATATAAAGAAAATTACATCTCTAACAAGCCTTGTGAGCCCGAAGAGCATAAGACTTTAGGCAAATGCTATTGGGTATGTTCACTATTAAGCCTAACTTAGATATCTTTTCAGATTCAAGGAGCATAAAATCAGGCCAACAACAAGTTTATCATAATGGTAACGTCATCTCCTGCAGGTATGAGATGAACTTGCATTAACATATATTTAGATAAGATGTAAATCTCATATTAAGTTAGTTTAAAAAGGAAGAACTACATCCAAGAATCACTTAAGTAAATTATTTTTAAATAAGAATTAATAACAAATTTTATTTAAGAAAAAAAACAAATTACATTTTTATTTTAATAATAATTTATTTTATATTGATCTTTGTCTGTAAATAATTTTTTAAATGATTCTTGAATGTTATTTTCTCATTAAGAAAAAAACTTTATCAACTCCACATATCATCAAATGACGTCAACTATAAGGGAAACCTCTAATGAGATATTGACATTAAAGCAGCTAATAGTAAAATGCAGAAGTGGGTGCACTTTAGGAAAGCGAAAGCCATATATATTGGTCACTGATCCGTATTTGACTCTTCGACATTTAATTTATTAATTAATAATAAAGCAAGAAAAAAAATGTACAATGTAAATTTAAAATTTTAAATATAATAATAACGAGGAAAGTAGATAGATATTCGTATTCTTGAATAGTAAAAACATGACAAAATCATTTTATAATTCACAATAGAAAAATAATAAATAATTTCCATATTTTGTCGTAATAATAAGTGTATAATTTTTATGATAATATAATAAAACATACTAATTGAAAAGATACAAAAGTTACGAATTACAAACAAGTATATATAAAAATAAATCATTTGCTTGTTATTTTAAATTTCAAAATAAATATGGACTTGTATAATACATAGAACATAGTGAAATAAAAAGGAAAATCTACTGAGATGGAAACTAAATTAGCCAAAATTATTTTATAGCTAAAAAATATACTCCCTCTGTTCAACAATATAAGGCATTTTTAACCGAATCTCACCTCTCAATAAAGTAGTTATCTACTTTTTAACTAACTTTATGTTTTTATATTTATCCCTATAAAACACCCTACAATAAATATAAAGTCATTATTAATATGAATACTTTTAAAAAAAGAAGACAATAATTACACCTTAAAAAGACTAAAAATATCTTATATTTTTAAATATCCAACCTTTTAAAAAATATTTTATATTTTTAAATGGGAGGAGTATTGTACTATTGAATTAAATAATTAAGCAATATGAAGAGACCACTGTCATTGAACAATGATAATGAAAACATAATAAATATCATTCAATTATTTATTTGTTGAATATACAGGCATGCCCCAAACCACACATTTTGAGTAGGTGGCACTCTTGACATGCTATAATTACAAGAAAAGGCCGAATCTAAATAATTGTTGTGACTAATCAAAAATCAATAGGAACTAAACATTTAATTCCTAGTTCTGGCCAAAAAAAAAATCACTTAACTTTTAGGACGCATTTAATTTTATATTAAAAATGTTCAACCAGAGTAATTTTTAATACGAAACTAAGCACATCATTATTATTGTTGAAGAATTTTCTTAGAGAAGGATGTTTTTTCGATGAAATTAGTACATATATCTTTCTGTTCAAATCTAGTTATTATATATATATATATATATATGTATGTTTGTATGTATGTATAATAACTAAATGTTTAACCTATTCGGAATATTAATCTACCCTATTCAAGAGATATGATGGGGATGGGAGAAATTTTTTAATGAAGTCAGTGTTTTAAAAGAAAAGGAAGTTAAATTGTAACTTTGAGTATGTTAAAAATGTAAAAAATATTTTTTTATTTCAAAAATTTTACTCCCTCTCTAAATTTAAAATAAAAAATGTCAAGATAAAAATTAATAGTTAATTTTAAAACAACATAAATATAAAATATGCTAATACAGTATTATTCATTTTAAAAATGTAGTCAACCCTATTTTGTAAGATAAGATTATTTATTATTGTTGTGATATCATAAATTTTAAAAACATATTTAAATTAAAAAATATAATTTAAATTTAAATTTCTCAAAAAATTAACACTTACAACTTTATTTTTAAAAAAAATTGGTTCAAATGCGATGCGAATAAAAAAGGATGGGGATTTATTTGACATAATTTTTTTAAAAAAATTACAATTATTATCATCTACAAAATAATAAAAGGTGTAATTGTTAAAATCTAAATTAAAGTTATTAATATTTACTCTCTAAATTTAAAAATGTAAGGCATTTTTTGAAAAGTTAGATGTTAAAAAACGTAAGGTATTTTTAGTTTTTTAAAATATAATCATTACTTTTTTTCAAAAATACCTCTATTGATAATGACTTTATATTTATTATAAAGTATTTAATAAGGATAAATATGAAAAGATAGGATTAATTAAAAAGTATGTAACTACTTTATTTAAGGGTGAAATTCGATTAAAAATATCTTAAATTTTTAAATAGAGAGAGTAAACTATAGTTGTTGATTAATGAATTGAAACGGCACTCTATCAAAACTTCATTTTAGTTATAAAATAAAAACTATGCTTCTTACATTAGCATTTTTACCTTTGTTATTTACAACTCCTATTTAGATTTTAACAGCTACCCTTCCCGTTATTCTAATAGAGTTATGTTAGACAAGTTCTTAAGAACTTTAGAGTCATAATTACTTCATTTCATATTACTTTTTTATCAATTGTCTATTTAAGTGGGATTTATTTATTGTTCTCCCTTACTTTTTGTTTTGATTCAGGAATACTATTCCATTTCTATTTGTAAAAGAAACTATCATTTTTACTTGTTTTTTATATAAATAAAATCACATATTTTCATAAGCACTGATTACACATTTTCTAAATCGCTCCTTATAATTTACATCAATGAAAAATGATTAATATATACTTATGTTGATAAGCATAATGAATTTTAATTTAATTTCTCTATTTTCAGATATAATTATTATAATTAACTAATTTTTTTAAACTATGTGATATATTTTTCTCTCTTACATGTAAAAATGAAAAGAGTACTATTAGAGCCCTTAATGTAAGACAAGAAGTCAACAAACTTCATGCTTTATTAATTAATGATGTTAGTTATAACTTTGAAATTATAAAAAATATGTAACTTTCTAATTTTACATTTATTTGTAATTAATGACCCAATAAATTATTGTTTAAGAGTTCAAATGATAATTAATGAGGGAAAAGCTTATATATTGAAGACATTTATTTTCAATTAAATCAATACATGTGTATCTTCTATAAATTATTTAATCTATAACCAATTATTGTTATTAATGGTATTAATATATTAAAATTCAAATGTCTTGACTTGCTCAGATAAAAGTATATGAAACATATCAAGTTGGGTATACAAGTCATACCCAATTAATAAACAAGAGGTAAAATTTTAAAGAATCATTAACTATTCTAACTTCATTTTTTGTTTAAGATAAAAAAATCTTTTCAAACTTTGTCTCATATTAAAGATTGAAAAGAGTATCAAAGTAAACTAATTAGGCCAAAAATTAGGTGTAAATTTAGTGATAAAAGAATACGGGAGTATTTTATTTTATTTTTTTGATACAATTACTTATTATTCATAGATTAAGGTACAACCACATTAACGATAAGACTCTCCCAACAAGCATTTCATACAGACAATGAAGTTGATTTGAGAGTGGGAGGGAGAGAAAATTGAGGTTATTGCATAACCGTCAGGCGCACAGAGAAGAGACACGTGGCCTCTTGCCACCAACGTAGTGGGAAAGCCGTGTGCCCCTCCACGTACCCTTCCTTGCTACGTGTCACTCATCCACAGCCTTGCCGCAAAACAACGCTTTCATAAACAAACATATCCTCTCTGCGTAGTGTTTGACGAAGCTGCGAGAGGGCACCTTTACACACACCCTTGTTTGTACCACCATTCATATACATATTCACACGCACACACAAAGGTGGCAGACCAAAGTGGTCAATAAGCCCAGCAATCAAGAAGAAGGAATGAGTGGGTTGATAGAGCCACTGGCCGTCGGCAAGGTTATCGGAGACGTCGTGGACCCCTTCGTGCCGGAGTTGAAACTGACGGTGCAGTTCGGGTCGAAGCAGGTGATGAGTGGTTGTGAGATCAAACCCTCACTGGCAGCTGACAGGCCTCGTGTTCGACTCATGTCTCCTTCTAATAACAATAATGCTTCCAATCTGTACACTCTGGTATGTATATATTTGTAGCATGCTTCTACATCTCTTTCACAATATACATGCACAATACACAGAGCTTCTATTCTCTGTCAGTCACAAATCTCACTCTTCATAAAAAGGTCATTAATTAACGGTAACATTGCTTCATGTAGGTAATGGTGGATCCTGATGCTCCAAGTCCTAGCGAGCCAACATTCAGAGAGTGGCTCCACTGGTACATACCTTTGTTCTCTCAAGTTCACACACACGACCGTATGATGATGATGATGAAGATAGTATATTGTGATTTGGTCTAATTGAGTAACGTAAGAATATCGCGTGTGGCAGGATTGTCGTTGATATTCCGGAGGGTTCTGATGCCACTCAAGGTAGGTCAGACACTTCTTTCTTTCTTTTAGTGCTATATTAAAACACTTTTTTATTTAAAGTATTATATTAAAAAAATATTATTTTCAGTCTCTTAAAATAATAAGATTTTTTTTAAATGCCATTAACTAGAAAGTGTTATTAATATTATTTTCCAATTAAAATTTCTTATTATATATAGTGGTAAATACGAAAAGAATGTGTAATTTTACATATTGATTATCAGATAATTTATTAATAGTAGAAATTAAGAAAAATATAATTTTAGATTTTTATACTTTGCTCAAATTTTGCTATAGACCCATACACTTTTTTTACCTTTTTTTTGTGTTTAAAGTCCTTACACTATTGTTTCTTAATATTTTAGGCACCTCTACATGCATTTTATAGGGACTTAAAATACTAATAAATAAAAATATAAGAATTTATAACATCAAAAAAGTAAAACTCGATTAAGTGTAAGAATTTAAAGTAATATTTTTTATAAATTATTTGAAAGTATCCTATAATTCTGGATGGAGAAAATATTCATTAATTTTTTTGTTCTATCAAATTTTTTAATAAAAGTGACTGGGGGAAATGAATGCAGGGAAAGAAGTAGTGAGTTACGTGGGGCCGAGCCCGCGGATGGGAATACATAGGTACGTGTTTGTGGCGTTCAGGCAAAGGGGAGGATCACTTGATGGCGTGGAAGCATCGTTGCGAGAAGAACGAGCCAATTTCAATACCCGACACTTCTCTTCCAAACACGGCCTTGCTCTCCCGGTCGGCGCCGTTTACTTCAATTCCCAAAAGCAGCCCAAGTGTCGCCGGACCCCTTCATCCAGTTAATTAATTACTTCTTAATATCCTTCCCATCATTTTAATTATTATAATTCCAGTTTTGCTTCTTCTTCTTTTTTCCCTTTTAATTTTTCATGTGATTCTATTGTATTCCGGCAAAATAGAAAATAACTACTCACCCAATATTAGATGTTTGTTTCTTCTACTCACCCTACAAATAACCAACTTATACTGATTAATAATAAATAGTTAAAAGCAGCTGAAGTCTTGATTTTATCATAATATTACTATATTAGCGGAGGGCAGAATTGGGATAGTATAATTAACACACACATACACACACTAGGTATCGCCTTTTTTTAAAAAAATATATATTTGAGAGCAAACTAAGTACAAAAAAGTCTCTTTATTTGAGACCGGAAGGAATATTTTAAAGTGTTGAATAAGACTCTCTTGATTCCTTAATAAAATTAAGTACTTCATCTGTAAAGAATGTGGGAGAATTTTAAGTTGAACTTCTATTTAGAAAATTAAATACAAGTAATATTATTTATGAAAGTCACTAGCTCTCATAACATATAGTAATGTTTTAACTAAAAAATATATAATATCATATTATTTATAAATACTATACAGCATTTTTATTTTAGACTATATACAAATCCAGGCCCATTAGTTTATATAAACCGTTAGGCCCAGAAAATTAACAAGCCTAACCCGATGTGAATAATGAGTGATGAACAAGTTTTTGGGCCAGCAATTAATGAATAAGTTGAAATAGGGAGGTGGAATATTAATTTCTTGTGTTGCATTTTCCTGTTATTTAATTAAAGATGAAAAGTCGGCTTTTATGAAAGCAGCAAGAAAGGCAAAGCCGCATTCCTCTTGTGCCTCTCGGGCGCAAGAGCAGACCCTTGTTTCAAAGAAATTTATGGAGACTTTTATAAATTATTAATTTTCAACAAAAGCCTCACATCAACAATAAAACTGTATATTTATATTTTTAAAAAATATAAGGATGTTTTAGGTGATACAATTTTTCTATTCTATAATTCAATATGTGAGACTATTATTATTAACGATGAACTCATGGGTACCTCAACAAGTTTTTGTTGACATGTTTACTCAATACAGCTGTATATATTAAGATTTAGACTCAAGATCTCAGGATAAGTACATTCAACTTCCTCAATTAGTTGAACCAAATGTTCTTTGGTCTAATAACACAATTATCTTTATATCAATTTATCGCAAATTATTAATGTCTTTATATTTCATATCTTTTTAGTTTGCATGTCAAGGAATGAAAATATTATGTCAACAGTCAGTTGTCCTAGTGACAAGACTACTTTCCTCTCTTGAAAGAAGTCTTGAGTTTAAACCAAGCATTGACATGATTAGTGTATGTGTGTGGGTACATGTATCCCTCTTCCTTATAGGGAAGGGTTAGGTTAAAGGTAAATTTCTTTTTCTTAAAAAAAGGAATGAAAATATTGTCATTTGAATATTTTATTTCTTTTTTTGAATCAAATTGAAATCATTTTAGCAACAAAAGGCTACAAAACATTTAAGTTAACAAGAGGGGAAGATCCCTCATTAGCCTCTAAACCTTAGATGGGGCTAGGAGGATGACCAAAGATACAAAAGACATAATCAAAGTAATGAAAATTTTTAGCTAAGTAATCTACAATAACATTCTTCTCTCAATTCAAATGTTAAACTTCAAGGATCTAGTCTCTATAAAACAAGATCTACACATATATAATGATGCCTTTAAAAGGGTGAGTATTGCTACAACCCCAAGTAAGCAAGTTCACAACTTCAATAGAGTCAGCAAACAAAATTACATTCCTATACCCCATGTCCCAAAAGAGGCTAAGACCGTGGGTCATAGCGATGACTTCTACAATAGTTGGAGGAACATTAAGTAATTTATAACTAAAGCCTTTGATCTATGACCATTGATCATCCCAAATGGCACCCCCACATCTTGATTGGTTGTTAGCTAATATTGAGCCTCCACTCCAAGGTAAAAAAACCATTAACAGATCTAGAAACTCGTTTCTCAAAATCTAAAAGAAGGGTTCTATGAAGAAGGTCACAATCATTACAAGCTTTAAAGAAACTAGTTAAGGCTTGATTATTAACCTCCTCCTCATCATCATCAAAAACCTTTTTGCATTGAAAGACCTAAATGTCCCAACATACATACTTGAATAAAGTTGCTCAAGTGATATTATTGGTGTAACTCTGTTTGACTTCATTATTAGATTCCACTTGACCTATTAAGCACCTTGAAGATTTGTAAACATGCTCTAGTATGCCTCTTTAACTATTGCTTTCCATCTTTCTCTCACTTGTTGACAATCATTATAACCTCTCTGAGGTTAAACCACAAATAACTCTAAATTATTGTAATATGAGATTTAGCCCTGAAAGGATTACCAAATTGTAAAGCTTAATAAAAGAGATTTTTCAAAATTATTTCCAAAGAATCCCATTTTTTTTATATTTCAAATCTCAAACATGATTTAAGGACTCCAATCAGAGTTTTAAAAATATAGCGGAAGCTTGAAAATCAATTGAGACCCAAATAATGAGTTTTAAAACTCAAAAACAAATTTTGTATAAAAAATGACAGGTGCACCACAGCTTACGATCATGTGCCGTCATGTGTCTCCTTTGTGTCATGTGTCGCAGTATGAGGCACCATGTGCTATGGCGCATTGCATGAAATTTGACAAATCAGTGCCGTCATTTGACAGCACAAGGAGCAAATTTCTGATGCATCCCAAATCTTCGTCCAATGTCCGATTGAGGTGGTTTCAGTGTCTACACGGAGCTCTCTTCTAGCTCTAGTTAATGGCACTAGTTTCACACTCAAATTAATTTTTTTTTATAAAAAGTTAGACACCTAAACCCATTTTGATCATTTTTTCACAAAATCTCACAAATAGGGTGTCCCAATTCAACCACACGTGTCAATAGCTTATACTAACCATCCGACTAAACTCAATGGACTCTTACAAACTCATGCAACACACCACACACAATCAAAAACATATATCTCATAAAATCACCACTTAATCCCTATTTTCACAAAACATTAAGAGGGAGGAAAAGTTGCGCAAAATTAACTATTTCATTCTAAATTTCTCAAAATACAAATGTTTCTACTTGCACAAGAATTTTGGCCCTGACCAGAGGTTCACAACCAAAACTCACTAACCTAGGGCACAAAATACACTAGTTATATATAAAATTATGCAAGTAGTGCACAAATCATGTCAATTAATCCTCGTTGACAATTATATTAACAGATACACATATAAGTAACAAAAGAGAGGCATATAGAGGATTACTCCATAAATCCTAAGCCTCTGTATGTTTTCCTTGACTCGAATCTGATGAGCTAAGTCCTGAAAATATTGAGAATTGAGAAGTGAGCACAACTACTCAGTAATCAAGTTTAACTTAACCCATACAGTTGCATATCAATTGTTAATAGATGCAATTAGGCAAACAAGCATATATATCACATAACACTAGGCCACCGTTTACAAAACTAACAACCATGTGACCGGGCTTACCATAGAATACTATATCATGTTATTTCGTAAAAACATAACCTAGGGTAGCAAAAATAACAACCATGTGCCCTTAACACATGTCGAACTACAAAACTAACAATCATATAGCCGGACTTATATACATGATCATAAGCCAACCTTATATCCTCCTATTACCTCTGACATGAAACCGGTGGTTATCTCGTAGCTACGTCTTTCACGGACTAACCCAGCCTTTTACTTGTGAGAAGCTATCGGGTCAGGGTGAACTCACTCACTTATATAATCCAGTTTCCCCAAATACTAACAACCATGGGGTGTCGTACCCCTAACCTAGCCTTTTTATGAATTGGTGGAGACTAGTTAGGTTCGAGTCCCTCATAGAACAAGTGGGATAGTCCCAAAACAACCATGGGAGAAGGGCTACCTCCCAATTCCAATGGTCAGTGCCAACTAGAGCCAGGAAAACAGGTTGAGCCCGCGGGCTAGCCCGTTTAACCCGCACAATTTAACGGGTTGGGTTGAAAAAATTGGCCCATTTTTTAAAACGGGCTGGGTTAGCCCAACTCGTAAAAAAGCGGGTTAAAACGGGCTAGCCCGCAGGCTAGCAATATTTTTTAAAAAATAATTTTTTATTTTTTAATTACATTATATCTTTTTATAAATTTACAATAATGATAATATCTCTCAAATATATAATTTATGACTTTTAAATATATTCTTTACATTTAAAATATAGTGTAAATTCTTTTTATAATTTGCAAATAAAATTTTTGTTATAGTTCATGAAGATGATTTATTAGTTTTTAGAGAAATATTTTGAATATATATTATTTATTAATCTCATAAATTCTATTGATTGAAATTATAAATATGAATTCACTAAGAAAAATAATATGAGTTTATATTCAAATTTTCTTTATTAGTGACAAAGATAGCACACCTAGGTGAGAAAATGATTAATAATAAAAATCTAGCAAAATGAATTTGCTTGGTTGAATTCTATATTTATTTTATTTATTTACAAGTTTTTTAATTTCTAATTTGCTTTAAAATATGAAATAAATATATATATTTATATTGTATAAATTTTAAATTATTAAAAAAATTTGATAATTTTTTGCGGGCTAGCCCGCGGGTTGACTAGCCCGTTGAAAAATGGGTTGGGTTGGATTTTCCAGCCCGTTTTCTTTGGCGGGCTGGCCCAACCCAACCCGCAAAACTGCCAGCCCACGGGGCTAGCCCGTTTGCCCAGTACTAGTGCCAACAGCTAGTTCCTGATTTCAATAGTCACTGCCAATATCATTTGGATTTCAACCAATTTATTCATCTTCCTAGGCGAACTCCCACCAATGATCATGCTATGCACATGTTTCACATAATATACATTTTGATAATTGATTCATAACACATGAACTCACATAACTCAATACTCCACAATTTAACACATAATATAACATAATTCTCCACCCATAGTAATAAATTACAATCAATTTTGCAAAACATCAAGGGTGTTAAAAATTAAGGTTTTCTTTCTCAAAAATCATTTCACAAATCAAGCACTTTGTCAATATGTATCATTAATTTAACTTATAAATCACATTTCACAAATATAATTAACATTCAACTATAAAGATTAAGTTTTCCCTGGTT